AGGCTAATGTTCGGGCTGCTGTTGTCGCCGTATTGTTTTGCATTATTAGTGTTTTGCATATGACTTGGATTTTTAACGTACCATTTGGCGTTGGTTTAAAATATATCTTAGTGTACATCTTAGATCATTATATACTGTTTCTTTTTACACTTTATATTTTTGCTATTGTTGGGTGTAACTGGAACCCTGTGTACATAATTTAATTCTGCCTCATGTACCACATGTGATGAAATGACAATAAACCTACTTGAACTTGAACTAGTATCAAACGTTGTGACAGAAATGAAACAATAAGGGAACAGTATAAGTGTGTTTCAATGCTTGTGATATGGAATCCTTATATAGCTAGCCTGCTATGCTTTGTGCTTTTGCTTTTCTATATTGCTATATGGCAAAGGTTTAATGACCCAGTAATTTGTTTTTAGGACCCATCTCACCAATTTTGACTGTTCAGAGCTATTTAATTGCTTTTTCTTTCTTAAATTTTTTGACTCGTGTCACAAGCTCTCCAAACGTTACCTGCTCTGAGTGTGCCATTTAGCGATACTGCATGAGACACTAAATGCTATTTTACATGTTTGACCAAAAAGGTTACAACTGTCTCATTTCTTAACAAAAGATGTTCTTAATTTAAAACTCTGGTATGAAAGATAGCAAGCCACATGCATTTCTTTAAGGAATGTTTTAGTTTCAGAAAGCATTTGCGTTAGTTAAAAGAAAAATCCCAGTTCTGTTGGATTTAGGATCAATTCTAATGGAGTTACTAGTAGGAGCAAACACTATAATGTAGATTCTAAGCTTGACTGATCCTCCATTCAGCAGAATAAAAATGAATGATGAGACAATCAGACATGCAGAGAAGCCTTTTCCCTTTAGATAAAATATGCACTGGAGTGGAGCACAGCAGCAGAGACAACATGGCTGCTCTCAAAACAGCATGTTAGACGCTTTTAAAAAATAATCCATGTTTGATTACTTTCAGACAAAAAAAAAGTTTAGGATTTGTAACATCTCCAAAATCTTACAATAGCTTTGAAATATATTTATTGTGTGAATGCTGACTCTGCATTCACACTATTGTTTAACCTTTAGACAATCATACTACTTTTACTTTTCAAACTACTTACCCGGTACCTTTATTCAAAGTAAAATTACCTGTTGAAACACACTGAGATACTGTATCTTCAGCTGTTTGAAATCTGACTCAGATTACTTGATCATTTTAATGCTATTTTTAGTGTTAAGCTAATGTTCTGTTACCAGCTTTTAGCTACTACAGTTTTTAGCTATTTTTATATTTTAACCAATATTCTGCTTCCTTTAGCTTTTAGCTGTCATTATGCTACTTTAAGCTATAGTTTTAATAATTTTAGCTACTGCCTGTCTGGTTAGTTTTAGCATTTGTTTTGTTAATTTTAATCACATTTTTGCTAATAGTATCCATTTTATTATTTGTACCTATTGATTTGCTACATTGCTCATTTGTTCTGTTTATTTTAATCTTATATACCTAAAGGGATTTTAGCTAATATTTTATTGTTTCAGTTTTTAACTTCTCTTCTGCTGCTTTTAGTTTTAGCCTTCTGCTCACTTTAGCCTGTGTTTAGCTAATTTTTGCTTCGGTTCTTCTCATTTTAGCTTCTGTTCTGCTTATTTAGTCTGTATTCTGCTAGCTTTGTTTTGCTCATTTTAGCCACTGTTTTTGTGACAATTGTCTGTCCTGTCTGTTCTCTGTGTTTTTCCTCGTCCTCGTGTGCACAGCTGATCCAAATCCCAATCATCCCAGGTGTTTCTCCTCTCACCTCGTTAGTGCCAGTGTCACTCCTTTGGTATCCAGGGATCATCATAGCCTTCTCACAGTGTCCATGGTATGATCTGCTCTTCACTTTTTGATAATGTAAGTTTTGCTGCCTTGTCAGCATTTTGGTTAGTTTTTTGTTAAATAAATCATTATTTTTACTCTGGAGTCCTCCTGCCTCTGCCTGCACGTGGGCTTGACACTTAAATTGCCAGATCATGTCAGTTTAGCCTATTTACCCTGTGTTTAGCTAATTTTAGCTTCTATTCTGCTTCTTTTACCTTTGGTCCTGCTCATTTTAGCATCAATTCTGTGTATTTAGGCTGTATTGTACTCATTTTAGCTTATTTTCTGCTCATTTTAGCTTCTGTTCTGTGTATTTAGGCTGTATTGTACTCATTTTAGCTTATTTTCTGCTCATTTTAGCTTCTGTTCTGCTAATTTTAGCATATGTTCTGCTTATTTAGTCTTTATTCTGCTCATTGTAGCTTCTGTTCGGGTCATTTTAGCTTCTGTTCTGTAAATTTTAGTTTTGTTTTTCTTGTTTTAACTTCAGTAACTCAGTTTGGCTTCTTCAACAAATGTCTGTGAACCCATTCAGCATTTTTGCATTCACACTGCATCTTCACAAAAAATATTCTTCTACTCCCATCAATCATTCTCCATTACTTGTGTCACGTTTGTTTCTTCTGTTCGTGTGCAGCTCTTTGTTCGTTATCCTATTGCTGCTCATTCTATAACAATTAATAGATCATGATTTGAGACAGGCCGTTACAATCCCAGTTTAGTTTAATCTCTGCAGTAAAAACGTGTTGGAGTGCAACAATCTCACTTCCATCTCCATAGAGTTGACTGTATTTTCACAACTGTGGTATAAAATCTGTGTCATTGCATTTAAGATGTGCTTTTGGTCTAAATTCAGACATAAACAGGATTTAGATAGCACATATAGCTACGTGAAAGCTTTTCAAGCATAGTATAAATAGATTTGGTGATAATATGCCGTAACTTATCAATCACTGTGTTTCAGAAATGCAAAAATATCACTTTACAATTTAAATTAAACAGTGCCTTATTAGTATTTCAAAGACAATACGCATGAAAACATTTAATTATTCAAAAGCTTTGCAGTCTGTCTGTCAGAGGAAGATGCAGAGGCTGTTGTTGTGATGACTCCAAACTATTCCACCGCTGCACACTACTGAGAAAACATGAAGCTTTAGGCCAACAGGTCAGTGCTGATTAGTACTCACAACAATCTTTAAAGATGGTTTAATGGATCTCTGTCTATTCATTCAACCTTTATTTATGAAGTATTGAGGGGGCCAAGATGGTGTAGAGGCAGGGCAGCCGGCTTGGGACCCGAAAGCCCCAGGTTCGATTCCCAGTCACTGCACATCATGTGGCGTCTCTGGGCAGCACGTCTCATCCCCAAAATGTCCCCCGGGCGCTTTCAATAGCTGCCCGCTGCACCACCTGGTGGTGGATGGGTTAAATGCAGAGACTAATTTCGCCATTGTATGGAAACATACAGTGCTGACATTGTGATGACATTATTATTATTATTGTTTTATTTTGGTACTTACTTTGCTCCAGAATCATTTCTCATTCAGTAATTTGTCACAAAGTACTTTATTAAACCCTCTACAGGCAGTGGTGATGGTCGTAACATACCGATGTAAATACAAAACATGCAGTTACATTATCGCCCAACAGAAAAGGTAGCAGGTGATGTGAAATTGTTCACGGAAATTCATGGCCTTAAATTTAAGATTTTGTTTTTCCAAATATGACCCATCTTATCAAGCTGAGGATTCATTCAAGGTTCTTTATTGTCGTTTGCATCACATGTGGTACATGAGGTGGAATTAAGTTATTTACTCAAGGTGCCAGTTGCATCCAAAAATAGCAAATATAGTATAAAAAGAAACTGTATATAAGGATCTAAGATATACATAAACACCAATAATGTAAAACAATACGGTTTATTATTATTGTCAGTACAGTCACGAGGTTATCTAGATAGATACAGGCAGATATAGAGCATTGGTTGAAAATGTGACAATATGAATTTGTCAAAATATGATGAATAAATACCTTTTATCTATGAGTCCCTTGAAGGAAAAGACTGAAATATAATCTTAATGTTTTGAGAATTACCAACAACTTACGATGGTTTTGAGCAAAAAAAACTTAAATGTTTTGCTAATTTCCCTGCATTCTAGCCAATCCTTTTTCAATATGAGCTGGAAAAATACTCCAAATGTTGTTTGAGGTTTCCTCTTTCAAACTATGTCAAGAAATTCTCATTAGAATATGCTAAAAATAAGACTCCAACCGATTTTTCCAGGATTTATTGATTCCTGATTAGGAAAACCAGTCAAGCTAACAGGATGATTAATGTATGAAAATGCAGCTTAAAAAGTTAGAAATCTAAAAATGTGCTTCATTTAGTTTGACCAAAACTGATTTTATATGACAGGTCACAAATATACAGTTGCAGTCAGAAGTTTTCAAAACCTCATCATCGGCATTAGTGTCATATTAATGTTTCTCAAAACATCCAAACTTTGTTGCGTTGGAATAATAATCAAACAAGTTTTCATCCTCAGGTTTGACTTTATTCTTAAAATAATATTTAAATTTTATTCTCAACACTTGAGCTTTAATTTCAGCTTTACAGTACAACATTTACTGCAGAACTATCATACGTCTATAGACGATTCATTTTTGAAAAAAGTGTAATTTGAGATGGCTGCCATAGCTAATCGATATTAGCCAACACAAAACTAGCTATGACCCAGTCAATCTTACAGATATTAATTGGCGGTAAAGCTGACATCATTTGCAGCCCACACGCTGGGGGTGGGATCTTGTGATCTTGCAGGAGGTTGAGCATTTTCAACATTTAACCAAAACTGCTCTATATTTCAATACGATTAGTCTAAAATTACGAGATAAAAAATGGCAGGTGATTTGCAATCTTTTAAGGACTCCAGAGTTTTTAATAAGTTTCATTTTCACATCATTTAACCAGGACAGAGTGCAATCAAAACATAAATGTAAAACCATTCGATGCATTGCACCAGATTTAGTCTTGGGATAATTTTTATCTGTATCATTCAGCTTGACTTTAAGAAAACGTGCCATACTTGACCCAAAAGAGAGTGCAGCTGTGTGAAACACTGAAGCTTTAACTGACCTGATAATGAAATCACTGGAGTCAATGAGTCCCCCATAATGTGAACCCTTCAGGTTCCCAGAGTTCCCCACCACGGCGCAGGTTCTGCAGCGGTCAGGGCCAGCGTCGGCATAAAGCACCTCATCAGGGATGACTTTGAACAGCTCCTCTACAACTTCACTGAAATTGGCCGGCTGCCTCTCTGCCTGTAACCACTGGAGACAAAAAAGAGACCGTCCTCAGAGAGAGAGACTCAACTCTGGGGACACTTAATTGATTGAACAAGAGCTGCAAAGCTCTACAGACAGAGAGGCAGAAAATAAACCAAGTTAAATGCACTACTGTGCACTGCTACTGAATGAAAAATACTATTATGGATCTGGTGAGCTGGACTTTCAACGCAATCAACAAAATCTTTTCAACAAAATGACAGGGTCCTGGAGAACCCTCTTGTCTGGCTGAGGTTCACGCTGCGGGGTATGTCAGAGATCTGTGGGGAGTTTGGCAGCTGATGTGTCTCTGTCCTGTCTCAGGAGGACGTTGAAGACATTTATTTGGATTTATGATAGCAGGGTTTCTGCTGTTTGTTTGGCATTTATCAACGTTTGAAGAAGACATCTGCAGCAGTTTCGGTCATGGCAAAGCTCCGAATCTGTGTGAAGGTTTGGTTTGTGCTATGAGGACTCAAAATCAGCTGACTTACAAGCTAAACCATAAGACGGAGGTGATTTGTGAGAATCGCAGGCCACCTGCAGCTTCTAGGACACGTCAGCATGTTGGGATCGACCTTGAGGAAGGCTCATAACACGGATCAGAGGAATATCCATAAATCTGGCCATTTTGGATCGGGAAAGTTCCAGCAGGACTCAAGGCTGACAAGAAACAGTTTGCCTGAAGAAAATCAACAGTTGTGGCTTATCTGAATCTGACTCCCCCCATTTGGCCTCGGATATGAGGATATGAGCCATGGGTAACTTCGTCTATCCCCCCCCCCCCCCCCCGCATCCGAGAACTTCTGTGCAGGCTTATCAGAACTGCTGGCTGAACAACATCAGGACTGTGTCCCATCTGAAAGTGCTGCATGGACAAACTCAACGTCTTGACGTCAAATGCATATGTAATCGTGTTTATAAATGTGCTTGCTGGTAGTTTTTTGATGACTCAAATCGTGTCCTGATGGGGCAAGATGTGAAGTGATCTTTTTTGTAATACCACTATCCATCCTCGTATCTCTTACCTTTTTCTATCTAAAGGTATTCTGATGAAGAATAAGGGGCCGTGCTATTATAGCAGCAGCAACGTGCACTCTGTCCATCTTTTGGACGACTGTACAAACATAATTTCACTGTATCCTGGTATGATAAAACTTATTCTGATATTATGCTGATAAACTGTATGGCTGTTGGTCTAAACTTTAGTTTTACTCATTCAAAAGAAATGATTATTATAGAAAACTTTTAAAAAAATCTAATATTAATTTTTAATTCGGTCAGATTAATTAAAAAATGAGACTTGAATGACTTGTTTCATAGAAACTACAGCAGCACATGCATCCTGGAAGCTTTGGCAACATACTGGAGGACTAAATGCACATAAACACGGGGCTCGTGCCTCTGCCTTGCAGCAGGACCATCTGGTATGGCTGCCGCAGAGGACGGGACTACTCCCTCGTCTAGTTCTCCAGTAAAAGCATTGTTTAAAACGAGTAGTGACAGCTTGCAACCTTGCATTCATTTTCCTATTCTGGCCTTTAATTAGACATTGCATGATGAGAATGTGGTAAGATCTGAGGCACTGGATCCAATCCAGAGACTGCTAGAATACCTGAGTGACATACAGTACCTTGAAGGAGTGTTCATACTCCTTGAACGTTTTTTCAACATGTAGGAAAGTTCACGTATACTAAAAATATATCGCAGTGTCCCTACGTGGCTTGTGGCAAACTACAAATGGCAGCCCTATGCCTTTCTTTCAATGAGTAATTTTATTGCCACTCCTCCATAAAAGCCAAATTAGTGAAGCTCACAATCTGCTGCTTCCTTGAATAGATAACTTTTAGTAATTGGCTTTTTTATGTATGTGAATGTTTCTGTACAGCGCTCTGAGATAACTTCTGTTGTGACTTGGAATTGTAGAAATAAAATGAATTGAAATTAATTGAACTGATAGTTGTTGTGTGTCTGTCAGTTGAGGTGGATGGCTACATCCTGGTAGGTTTGCAATTAATGTCATCCATCCATCCATCCATCCATCTTTATCTGCTTCTTCATTTCTGGGTTATGGGAGTCACTGGTAACAATATTCAGCAGTTACTGTGTGAGTGGCGAGGGACACCTGGACAGGTCTCCAGTCCATCGCAGCGACACATGGAGACAAACAACCATTCACTCTCTCACTCACACCTAGGGACAATTTAGAGTTACCAATCAGCCTAACATGCATGTTTTTGATCTGTGGGAGGAAACTGGAGTACCTGGAGAAAACCCACGCAGTACACATGCAAACCCAGAAAGAACCCCAGCTGGGATTTGATCCAGCGACACTCTCGCTGAGAGGTGGCAGCTCTACCAACTGAGCCACCGTGCTGCCCCCGTTGCTATCATACTATTCACATTTTCAGATGATGGACTGATTAAAGCTCCATGAAATATTCAAAGCTTGGGAAAGTGTTTAATAACCTAACCCTGCTTTAAACTCATCAACAACTTTCTCTCAGACCTTGGTCTTCATGGTGCTGTTATGCTCTGTAACAAACATCTGAGGCCTCCATAGAACAGCTGTCTTTATGCTAAGATTAAATTACACACAGTTGGATGGTCTTGTCTGATTTCTGAACTCAAATGGATTTTAGTTAAAAGTATCAGAGGACAGGACTGAATACAAATAGCCGCAACACTTTTCAGAAATTTAAATTAATGAATCATTTTCTTTCAACTTCACAGTTATGTCCTACAATGTGTTGGTCTATCACAAATTTTCAGATAAATCATGGCTATGACTGAATTTTCCAGCTAACGTTTGGCATGTTTGTAGCTCACAGTCATTCACACAACACTCTACGCGCTAACGGATCACACACAATTTGAGACTGAGCATAAGGTTTGACCAAAATGGCCACAACTCCCATCATTTGTCAGCAGATGATTATCTTAGTTTAAAACTCAGGAAAGGCAGCGAGCGATATGCCTTCCGTTAAGAAATGCTAGACCTTGGGCCCTCCTACCTTAACCTCCATCACCCCAGTTTGCCATCCTGACGCTCTTAAAGCTAGTATGTGGGATTTTTTTTTTTTTTTCATTTACCCTTTATTTATCCAGGTTAGTCTCATTGAGCCACGAAAACTCATTTTCAAGAGAGACCTGTTTTAGGGAGCACATGGTGGGGGTTAAGGGCCTTGCTCATGGGCCCAGAGTGGGGCGAATGAGGGTGGGGGCAAGTGTGGGTGTTTCACCTACCCCACCCACAATTTTTGATGTTGTCGGGGCCGGGGCGTGAACCGGCGATCTTCGGATCACAAGCCCACCTCTCTAACCTCTGCGCCACCACTCCCCAAAACTCTATTTTGGCATCATTCATTAGCTTTGATACTCAAACCTGTTTCTCACAGACCAGAAACATAGTTCCTCTGTTTTTAGCAGTATGTGCTACATGAGCACCTCTGGAAAATGTGACCACACTGGTAAGACATTATTCCTCTATGGATTCTGGCCACAGGTGGTGGTTTTTCTACGAATGATCCTGAGTGAGTATAACGCTGTGGTATTACTAAAAGAAATACATTAGTGATTGAAACTTCATCTCTCCTTATCTGCAGATTTACAGAAGGAGAGATGGTGAGAGGAAACACATATTTCCATGTTTCACTTTTGTTTAACACAGAGAAACTGTGCGTGGGAGTTTGTTTCACAACTTAATCCTGGTAAAGATCTCGAGGATTTGAAACAATCGATGTGGCCAAAACAAACATGTTTTTGGAAGCTTCGAAGCAGCATGTGATCTCCTTTATGGCCTTTCCAATTCTGCACCTCATCTGTTCTCAGAAATCGAACGTGCAGGATGCATTATTTTATTTATCTCTGTTTTAGTTTTCTGTAAGACACCACTGCAAAAATGTCAAAATTAAATCTCTTGAGTCTTACCTGCCACCACCTAAAGGTCTCTTCAGAGAGGACGCTGTTCTCTTTGGTCATCAGAGGGTGGATGGACTGATTGAAGCGTTCAGCAAACCACGGGTCCCCTTCTTGCTCTGCTATGCACTGCCGACAGGCACACAACCCTTTGGAGAAAAAGCTGTCTGAAAGCTGAAACGCGTGCTTGAAGATATAGAGCGATGGGTCCCTGAAAGTGTAACTAAACAAGAGCATTGTAAAGGTAACGCCACAAAACAGGAGTGCAAAGTTCCTGACTTTTCTTCGTTTGACTAGAGACATGTCGCAGTCACAATCAGTTGGTGGGAGACGTAGAGAAGGAAGCAAACAGATACAGCATCACAGCTCGAGAGTCCCAAAGATGTGAGAAAAACACAGCCCACATGGTACAAGCAGCCTTCCCTGGTGTCCTTACTCTTCAGATAACTGAGGACTTGGTGCAAAAATCCTCCCAATCAAAGCTTCAGTAGAGTATCTTTGAAGAGACGTCTAAATCAGCACAGGGTACATTCCCTTCGTGATTCGGGCAGTGTGATGGTTCCTGGTTACATTTTAAACTGACGGCTCAGATGCTGACTTTGCAAGGTCAATGTCCGGTGTTACCCACTCCTAAGAATCCACCTAAAAGGAAACAAAAAGACAAAATCATTTTACCTGGAAAACAGACTTTTATGCTTCTACAGTAAATCAAGTGACAGTGTAACAGTTGTAATATTTTATGTTTAAGTATTTTTAATATTTGGGTGGGTGGTTGGATGGATGGTGTCTTTCAATTTACACAGAAATAGGAGCGCATATAAAAAAAGGCATTATTTGGATGTTTGGAACGAGATGTCTGGGCCTCGCTGCTCAAGCTGCTGCTCCCACTGTCAGTATCGGCTGGAGGACTGAACCCAGAATGCAGGCAGGCACGAGGAGCTCAAAAACACCTTTATTATAAACGGTAAAACAAAATGATGTGGCAGCAGAACACTTACAAACATGGAGTTACTTTGAGGACAATGAAGAAAATGGGAAAAAACAAGGATTGACGTGGTAAAAACCAACTATGCAGAACTCATCTGAACACAGCAAGACACAAAATGTTTAGGCAAACAGGGGGATGAGGACTTGGGCGTGGATGCCTGTAGACTGTTCTGACTAGACAAACATTGAGGAAGCTGACTAAGAATGGATGAGAAATGGCACAAGGAACATGGGGAAGCTGAAACAAGAAAAACAAGAAGAAAAGAAAGAACAGTTCTAAAAGAACCCTAGAAAAAAATATACAAAATAAAGACAGGTCAAGATCTAAACTGAACACGAACCCAAGATACAGAAAAAAAGGTCTGATATACAAAGAACTATCAACATTGTTTAATATATTTAATCATATGTGTAAGATCATTGTTGTTCCTTTACATTTAGTTTAGACAAGCGGGCGTAATTCACAAAAACATCAAAGTTAGAGCAGGTTACAGAAAATTAGACTTTGCACGATTTGAACTGGTAGTTTGATCTTAAGCATGTATGTTATCTTCATTTCAATGAACAGATGATCGTATGTGTTGGCGTGGCTGCCAAGGTGGATAAAAAGTGGTGACAAGGGGAGTATAAAGTGGGCGGAGCTGAGTTTTGACATGCCCCAACAGTTTTTTTTACCTAAAAAAGTACAAAGTACTTACAAGTATCTGTTTTTTGGTTGTCTTTGTGTTTATTGTTGGGTTTAGTTCTGTTTGGTTCATTTTCTGTGCTCTGTCCCTCTGAGTTTCCCTGTTCCATCAGTTCAAGTTTTCCCAGTTCAGCTCCTGCTCCTTAGCCATGCCGGTCAACTGGCTCTCTGGTTAGGCTCAGCTGTTTCTCATCTCCTTGTTCAGTTTCAGTCCTTATCGCTCCTCAGCCTGCATTCACTTCTCAAACAAGCACTGAGCATTTTACATGTCACATATTGTCCTTTGAACATTCATGTTCCTGTCATCAGTTTAAGGTTTGCTGCCACGTCTGCTTTTAGTTTAATTTTTACAATAAAGTTGAGTTTTATTTAAGTTCCTCATGTAGGTCTTCCTTCCTGCATCCAACCTCATGCAACTATGAGACATTCAACTTAACCTGGAGTCCTTTTTGGTCTATCTTTTTCTGTTAGCTTTGGTTTAGACAGTAGCATAGAAAGGAGAAGCTTACAGAGTTTTGATAGTGATATTTTATTTAACCAGGCAAATCCCAGTGAGATCACAGATCTGTTTTGCTAGGGAGGACTGGACCTGAAGGCAGCCTAACAGGCATATTTTTGTACTGTGAGAGGAAACCGGAGTACCAGAGAAATAAAACATGCAAACACGAGAAGAACATGCAAAGTCCACACGGAAAGACCTCCGATCTAAACTGGGAGTTGGCCCCAGGGTGGTCTTGCTGTGATGTAACAGTGCTAACTACTAAGCCATCAAGCTGCCCAAGTGTAAAAGGTGTCGAGAAAAGAACTGAGTTTAAAAATAATAAATTTGTCAATTGCAGTCATGGAATAAACTTGCATAATTTTACATTTTACACTCAAAGTTCATCATATTCTGAATATAAAAGTGTTGAAAGTTGGTGGACAGTATACTCCATACTTTTAAATTTGCTCCCTTTTTCCAGCACGATGTGAAAACATTAACGTTTTGTGCTACAGATTTGAAAAGTTTCAACCTTCCCTTAAAGAAGGCAACGACGTCTGCTGTGATAAGATATTTTTTAGAAGTCGAAGCAATAAAGCAGCAGAACCCCCACCGTTTGTTCCAATTCTTCGTCTTCATGCTGGTTTTCCCTCCTAAAAGTTTTTTTTCTAGGAAAAGAACAGGTAGAATCTAGATATATAAAATTTAATGACATGGTCCCAAATATCTGCAGCTAGTTATGCACTGAAACTAGAAAATATTCAGCTACAGGTGGTACCCTATGATTTCACAATTTTATAATTATCCTCAGACAGGCTTTAATAAGACTTGAATATCCTTTTTTTTTTTTTTGTAATTTCCCCCAAATATCCTTAATTCCAGTTTCAAAAAAACCTACCAGACCTTCCTAATATATTTGATTGAAAAAGTGGAGGAAATTGTTCTTCCCAGTTGCCAGTTTCAGCAGGTGAGGAGGTGCAGCGTTCCAACACACTGCTTGACGTTGGCAACAATTTGATCAAAACTTGGATCAATCCTTATACTCCTACCTCACTATTGTGAAACTTGAATGAAATGCAACAAGACAAGACGGCAGTCACTTTGAAAAACATCAGATATGTACTTTGTATCTCTTTTAGTAGCAAACATTTAAAAAACATTGAAAAAATAAAAGAGAAAGTATCACGTTCAGACTATGTGTAAGGAGGGAAAGAAAAGTCAGAATTGTGCTGCCTGTATGTAGACTACGTCTCTCGGCGGTCTGGGAACACCTTGGAGTCCTCCCAGAAGAGCTGGAAGAGGTGGATGTGGAAAGAGATGTCTGGCCCTCCCTGCTCAAGCTGCTGCCCCCGCGACCCGACTGATGGAGGCAAATTGTGTTAATGCTGCGGTTGTGACAGATAGTTATATTTACTCAAATAAAAGCTATCTGATTAAAAATGTTGATGTACTGTATTATTGCTTGACTAAAACGTATGGACAGGTTTTAGTTTTTCTTAATCTTTAAGGAGAAAATGATGCATAATGGCTTTATTTTCTATTTATTAATACAGAGAAGTTATGAATCCTTCAAAATGTTTGGGTTTTGTCCTGTTAGAGCTTTGTGGAAAAAAAAAAAAAAACAGGCTTAGAAATTACATTGACATTTACTTCAGTGCTGTTTGTGGTACTTAAAACTAAAAGGTACTTAAAACTCTTAACTACTGCAGATGTGATGTGGTTTACACAGCAGTCTGTATCATATGCAATAGTTAAAATGTTAAGTTAAATGTTTATTAATGAACACCGGATTTTTAGATTCTTTTAGAGAGAGATTACTGCATTACCCTAAAATAAAACTTAAATTCACAGTTGGCTCTGACTAAAACAGCAGCTTTGTCTCTGCTATAAGACTGTGTGGTGACTAAAGCAATCCTTTATAAATGACCACCTCAGGAGTTTTGTCTATGCCAGTGTTTCTCAAACTTTTCACGAAGAGTACCACTTTACTCTGCTGGAGGGAGGAAGGCTCTGCAGAGAGTGGTGAAGGCTGCACAGAAGACTGTTGGAGTCAGTCTCCCCACCATCACAGACATCTACACCTCCAGATGCAGGAAGAGAGACACCTGCATCATGAAGGCCATATGATGTACTGCTAACAAAAGTAACAAAAACACCAATCACAAACAACCTGCAAGTGTTGACGTATAATTTGTATGGATTCCCCAAAGCAGCTGGAATAATGGCTGCTTAGCAATAAGGGTGCTTCAGTGCTGATCCATTGAAACACTTAATGAATGGAAGTCCATAATCTGCATTCATGCTTTAGATGTTGATGCAAAATTGCTTCTATCAATGCCTTTTTTCTTAAATCCCCTGCAGGTCATCTATAAATATAAACATTTACATCAAGGCAAATGTGAACATTATGGATGCACAGCTGGAGAGGTCTTGACTGAGTGATATGAAATGCTGCTTTTTTCTATTTTAATCACACTCAGTCCTGTGAATAAAACTGTAAAGGTATCACAAAGTCTTTTCACGCCTTTCAAAAGCAAAGGGTTAAATCAAATGAACTAATTTCAATTTGTGGACATTAAGGTGGATGCAAAATATCAGTGCAGATAAGCTCAATACTAGTGGCATTAAGATTTAAGATGATTACTAGGTATTTTTGGGTGATAGAGCTGTTGCCTCTCAGCAAGATGGACGCCAGTTCAAACCCCGGCCTGGGGCCTTTCTGGGTGGCGTTTCCATGTTCTCTCCGTGCATGTGTGAGTTTTCGCTGGGTACTCCAGTTTCCTCCCACAGATCAAAAACATGCACGTTAAACTGATTGGTAACTCTAAATTGTCTCTAGGTGTGAGTGAGAGAGTGAATGGTTGTTTGTCTCGTTTGTCTCTATGTGTCCCTGTGATGGACTAGAGACCTGTCCAGGTGTTCCTGTGATGAACTGGAGACATGTCCAGGTGTCTCTGTGATGGACTGAGACCTGTCCAGGTGTCCCTGTGATGGACTGGAGACATGTCCAGGTGTTCCTTTGATGGACTGGAGACATGTCCAGGTGTCTCTGTGATGGACTGGAGACATGTCCATGTGTCCCTGTGATGGACTGAGACCTGTCCAACTGTCCCCCTCTTACAATGCTGTTATCACTCAGCCCTCTGTGAA